GGAAACGCAGCCCTCGAGCGCGCAGAGCTTCGAGAGCGCGCTGAGCAGCGGGCCACCTCGGGGTAGGGGGCTGGTACCCCACGAAATGAAACCATGGTTCTTGGCTTCAGGGGCGGGGGGAGGGAGGGGAGGGGGAGGGAGCCCAAATGAGCCCTTGTTAAGCCCTTCATAAGGCCTTATTTGAGGCTTATTTGGGCTCCCTCTATTTACGTTGGACTTGAATCATTGGGTTTCTTGGGTGCGAAATGGATTTCGTCCATCCACGAAATATGAACCAAGAGGTGACGAAGAAGGGAGGACGGGAGAGCTTCGGTATATAAAACATGTCTTCCAGTTCTACTCCCTGGTTCAATAGAAGGAATGACTGGACTCCATTCAAGTTGCACTTCGATTTCTGACAAGTACCCAAAAGGGGGGGTTTCCCTTTGAGCCGCCATTTCAAGGGCCAAATTTTGGAGATGCAACTTTGATGGACCCAAATGCCGACCGCTTGGCCAGCCGCTGACATCGCAAGTTCCATTGGGATGAGTTCCTGTCGGCCTTCCAACAGGGCATCGTTGCCACCATTCCCCAGATCTGGGTGCCTTTGTTGGGGGGCCCCTCAAAATTCAAGGCTGTCCTTGTGCCATCAACAGACGTACGCATGTGGCCGAGAAAAAGGAGCACCCGACATGGGTTTTCAGAGTTCCAAACAGCAATGGACAGCCCAAACCTCTAGGTGTGTTAACTCTTAAACCACTCTGAGGAACTGGCTGAACAAAACGCACATCGGACAACATGATTGCTTTATTTAAGAGTCCCGCAAACCTCTATGATAGATGTGATAATGAGAGGAACCGGCTGGACCAAAAATCCACGGAAAATAATTTCTTTGTTCCCGGGGACATGCAACAACCTGGTGTCCCTTCAAAACCAACAGGGGAACATAGAACAAACACCGTCTTTTCAGCACGTGGAAGGAGTCCCGGCGAGCAGCGGACCAGCTCCTCCACCACCTCCGTGCTGGGCGCTTTGTCCAACACGGCCGCATGGGCCGCCGCGGTTAGGCGGTGGGCGTCTCCATGGGCCAGCGGCTGCCAATGGAGAATATCCTCGGGCGTATCTGTTGGGCCCTTGGTAGGGCAGCAAAAAGTCTGTACTTGTTTACTTTTGTTTTGGAAGCCTGTACTCTAAATGAAAAGAACAAACACACCTAAACACATCAAACACTTTGTTTGTTTGCAACCCCCTACTAGAATGAACAGAACAAACCAGCCTCAAAACCTAAACACATGCCAACAACAGTGAAGGGATGTTGGGCATGTTTTGTTTGCCCGTTTCCTTCGCTGAAACTTCATCTTACCCCTTATTGGTGGTTTGGTTTGGTGGTTTGGACCTTAGCGGGAGACCAAAACCCCCATGGCGTGAAAGGAACTGGGGTTAAAAACCCCAAACCAACATACAAACCAGCAATCAATGGGTACCAGATTCAACTTGTGCTCCCCTCGTGGGAAAAAAACAACAAACTACACATCGCGGACTTATACACCTGTTGCTTGTAAAGGTTTAAATCCGCGTGATCTTTGCTGTTGGTAAGGACAACACATATGCGGCCCACGTGTCAGGGAACAGCCGGGATGTACCAAGAAGCAACTACTGACGACCAGCAGTCATCCAACTGGGCTGGCCTCAGATCCCCCGCAAAAACTTTAACTCTTAGTTGGTGAAGTAGAAATCCCAAAGCTACCTGGATGGCTGGGAACCACCAAGCTAACCTTCAGGTTCCAAGAAAAAGATGTGGACCTTACGATGCCACAGCCCGGTGCTTGGGGCCAAAAAGAGCCCAAGGCTTCGAGGCTTTGCCTTAGCATTAGAGTTATCCTTCACCCTCCATAGAAGCTTCTGGCTTTCTTCTGTTTTAGGATCTCTTACTTGGCTAGGTCCTCCAGTAGAGAGGTTGGAATGAGGGTACCCTTTTTTCTGTAGTCTATTTTATTCGGGGAACCCTCCCCCGGAAAAGGGTAAAAGGGTACTGCTCAAGGACCTAGTTGGCCTTTGTCACAGGACTATCCTGCAACCTAGATTGCTGCCCAGTCTCGCAAGTTCTGTTTCTTGAGACCAGACTGACACATGTTGCTTTGCAAAATGTTCTCTGCAACTTGTTTTCTGCATCAGAGCTAGTTCCATTTTTCGGGCAACAACTCGATCACGTCGAAGGCAAGCAAGGCAGCAATGCTTTGAAAAGGAGGTCGTGTCCGAGAAAACAACTCAGCACAATCTCCAAGCTGGGGCTGCTGGAATTGACCCAATTCAGTCGCATTTTCCGTAGCTCAAATCTCAAGTTGCATTTGGCTTGACAAGTCGCACCCTTACCCCTTCAGGTCAACAAAGGAGAAGGGACCCCCCAACCCCCCCAACCCCCCCAACCCACCGCCCCCCCAACCCACCCCACTCAACCCCCCCAACCCCACCCCCCGACCCACCCAACCCCCCCAACCCCCCCGACCCCCCAACCCCCCCAACTCCCCCCAACCCCCCCAACTCCCCCCACCCCCCCCCCCACCCCCCCACCCCCCAACCCCCCCAACCCCCCAACCCCCCCAACCCCCCCAACCCCCACCCCACCGCGCCGCGGCGGCGAACTTCGCCGACAGCTCGATGCATGTCGAGCGTCGTAGCCCAGGAGCTGCTGAAAGTCGGCCACCAGCCGCAGGCCCAGCTCCCCCCTCTTCACCTCGGCATGGGAGCCCCCAACAAAAAAAATCCGGCGGAGCCTGGCAAAAATAAAAAACAAACGCATCCAACATCCAAAGGATCCAACGTCTGTCCGTTTGAAAAGCCCTCCCGAACAAAGGAATCCCCTGGCAGAAAGGCATGAGACCATTGGAGCATTTGCAGGTCATGCGAAGTTTAGAGAGTCTCCCATGTCGCTCCCAGCACGACCGACAGCACAACAGGAAACTTCAGTGAAACGGACAGGTAGTCGCCAAAGACTATACCGTAGCCAGAGCACAACCCCAAATTGAAGCTCCTTCGCTTCTGGAAATCCTGGGGATTGTGGAAATCCTGCAGGAGATTCCGTCACCTTCATGCAAACTGAAACAATCTCAGCAGTGTTAGAAGCACCTGCAAAATTGTGTGCTTCATCATCACCGATTCATCACCAATGTCGTTGCACTTCTTATCAGCTGAATTTCTATGTGATTAAAACTGCTAAGCGGTGTGGTTTTGGTGATGATTTGATTTATGGTGTGAGAACGTTATTCAAAAGATCTCACAGCTTTCTACAAACAATCTGCCATAGTGTGGCTGACTCAAATCAATGGCCCGCAATGTGGTAAAGTTAAGGCCACCGTACCTATGTCTCCATCCAATTTAACAATTTAATGAGCACCAACAAAGACGTAAACAACAGCCGAGCCAAGAATGCTTCTTGCTCAACTCTCAAGAAACCTCCACACCAGACACAACGTGTTGGAAGTTGCGAGAGCACTGGTTGCAGTGGAGCGTAGCGCCTTTTCCTCAACTAGCTTTACAGCGTCTTTTCCTGAATTAACTTTACAGTGGTTGTCGCAAAGGAGTCCTGTCACATGCAAGATCCGGTTCCAAAAGAGTCTTGCGATCCGATGTATGGCTGTACACTGGCATCGATGGGCATCGACCTATGCGAGCCCAAAAATTGGCGAACTCCTATAAATGCCGTTTTGCCCAAACATGTTGAACAACCTGAACAGCTCCACAGAAAACGATCACCTGGGCCCATGAGGACCACCATGACCACCATGACCTCCATGACCGCCATGACCGCCATGTGGACCGCCATGTGGACCGCCATGTGGACCGCCATGTGGACCGCCATGTGGGCCATGTGGGCCATGCCATGGTCCATGAGGTGGTGGGAACCATCCACCGCCTGAGCCACCTGATCCACTGCCGCCGTATCCCCCTCCACCGCCATGTCCCCAAGCCGCAGGTGGAGGGGGTGGACCATGCCATCCTCCATGAGGACCATGAGGACCATGAGGACCGTGATGGGGACCATGAGGACCGCCATGAGGACCGCCATGAGGACCGCCATGAGGACCGCGATGAGGACCATGAGCACCATGGCCATGAGGACCCCCATGGCCAGGCCCTCCCGGATGCGCACCCCGCAAGGATCTCGGCTTCTTTGATAGAACTGCCGCACTAGCTGCACCTGCCGTCGCAGCATCAGCTGTGGTTTGTTCCTTCACTACTTCACCCACTTCATTCCCGGGGTCGCGCTTTCTGGCTTCCTCAGCGGAGTCTGCAGCTTCGGAGGAGTCCAAGGATTCTTTCTCCACAACGCCTGGGATCACAGGAGCCTCTGGTGGAGTTTCAGGCTTCCGGTCGGCTGCTTCACTGACACCGCTGAAGTCTGGGGCCTGCGTTCCTGGATCCAGCTGTGCCACCGGCTGTGGCGCTCCGTCGTTTCCTTGCACTGTTCCAAGACATGTGAATGCCAAGGCAAATCCGGCCAGAAACTGCTTCATCGTCCTCCACAGAAGAAAGCCTCAACCTAGAAAGCAAAATGCTTGAACCAAAAATGAGACATTCATTCTTGCTCATGGTTGCGGAGAAGCAGTGGAGCCAGAAACAAGCTACTCGCATGAAGTACGACACACTTACAATAAAACATCGTGAAAACTCACGTGGGCCGAAGCCATGGCAAGAGTGCACCAGTGGCGGTGAGATTCTCCGCAGTAAAGCAAAACTACATTTTCCCATCTGTCGATCTCTTTGAGATGTTCCGAATGCCCCTGCCAAAAGTCGAACTTTTGGTGGTTTAGTGGAAGCTACCGCCAAACCCTAAAAATCCAACAGCATAAGGAGATGGCTGGGAACCACCAAGTTTGGAAGGTGAGAACAGCACCTGTGACAGAACGTTTTGGAAGTTGCGAGAGCACTGGTTGCAATGGAGCGTAGGGCCTTTTCCTCAATTAACTTTACAGCGTCTTTTCCTCAACTAGCTTTACAGTGGTTGTCGCAAAGGAGTCCTGTCACATGCAAGATCCGGTTCCAAAAGAGTCTTGCGATCCGATGTATGGCTGTACACTGACATCGACGGGCATCGACATATGCGAGCCCAAAAATTGGCGAACTCCTATAAATGCCGTTTTGCCCAAACATGTTGAACAACCTGAACAGCTCCACAGAAAACGATCACCTGGGCCCATGAGGACCACCATGACCACCATGACCTCCATGACCGCCATGACCGCCATGTGGACCGCCATGACCGCCATGTGGACCGCCATGTGGACCGCCATGTGGACCGCCATGTGGACCGCCATGTGGGCCATGTGGGCCATGCCATGGTCCATGAGGTGGTGGGAACCATCCACCGCCTGAGCCACCTGATCCACTGCCGCCGTATCCCCCTCCACCGCCATGTCCCCAAGCCGCAGGTGGAGGGGGTGGACCATGCCATCCTCCATGAGGACCATGAGGACCATGAGGACCGTGATGGGGACCATGAGGACCGCCATGAGGACCGCCATGAGGACCGCCATGAGGACCGCGATGAGGACCATGAGCACCATGGCCATGAGGACCCCCATGGCCAGGCCCTCCCGGATGCGCACCCCGCAAGGATCTCGGCTTCTTTGATAGAACTGCCGCACTAGCTGCACCTGCCGTCGCAGCATCAGCTGTGGTTTGTTCCTTCACTACTTCACCCACTTCATTCCCGGGGTCGCGCTTTCTGGCTTCCTCAGCGGAGTCTGCAGCTTCGGAGGAGTCCAAGGATTCTTTCTCCACAACGCCTGGGATCACAGGAGCCTCTGGTGGAGTTTCAGGCTTCCGGTCGGCTGCTTCACTGACACCGCTGAAGTCTGGGGCCTGCGTTCCTGGATCCAGCTGTGCCACCGGCTGTGGCGCTCCGTCGTTTCCTTGCACTGTTCCAAGACATGTGAATGCCAAGGCAAATCCGGCCAGAAACTGCTTCATCGTCCTCCACAGAAGAAAGCCTCAACCTAGAAAGCAAAATGCTTGAACCAAAATTGAGACATTCGGTACACAGAACAATCCGCCATGCATGGCCTTGTCACATTGATTCCAACAACACCAAGCCCCATCCGCCCAACACGTGTGGCTCAGGCAACCACAGACTGAGCATCGCTGCGTGGAACTTGACTTCGTTTGAGGTGCTCTCTTTTTCGGTTCGGCACCCCGGGCACTCTTGTGCTTCATCGAAACCAAAAGCAAGCCACCCATGAGGCTCGCCTCTGCCGATTCCTGAGTATAGAGTTCAACCAGGTTTTGTTGAAGCCGGATGACTGAAACCTACAGTGCCCCCTTCGCGGAGGTCAACCACCCCTAATCCATTCTTGGGTCACCACACATGGAATCCTGAATCCCTTTGACCAGTGGCGTTCTCTGCATGATCCGGGCAGAAGAGCAAAGATACCACCGACCGCCCGAGCTTGGCGGAGTCTGGCAGCAACGAGCTGAGTGGAAGGTCCGTCTCCAGCAAGAAGCGTCGAATCTCGTACTGTGAGTTCAGCACATCCTCGGTGTCCCACACGTAAAGCCAACACGTCTGAGCTGATCACGATAAGAGCCCCAAATGAGCTCCTTATGCTTTGCACTCAACATTGTCTAGTGGCATGAATGGCTATGTGTCAAGACCACACACACACACACACACACACACGCACGCACGCACGCACGCACGCACGCACGCACGCCACGCACGCCACGCACGCACGCCTCCAAGACGAAGACTCCTATTGGTGGACATCCTCATGTGAGCAAATGCGGGCAAATGGGAGCAAAAGACAGGGTGATTGCACTCATAGACAGATATGACAGCGAAATACAGTATCCAAACAGAATCCAAGTAGCTTCTATTGCGCAATACACTTCATTCGAAAAACTACTCCAGCTAGGCCTTTCCGAAGGGAATAGCTTACGGGAACTAACCTCAGTTTTTCTGCTTCTGATGACGTAGCAACCTGGGTGTTTCTTTTTTGATGGCACCCTTTTGTACGTTTGAAGGGAAATCAAAATGAAACCAACCACTTTTTTGAGTCCCAAAATTTGAGACACCCCACCTAGGATTTCACCAAACAGGGATCCTCCTCTAAGCAGGCCCTTCGTTCTCCAATCGGCCTGGGGGAGCCTCCACAAAAGCTGCGCGTGTTCCAACCCAGCGGGACATGCAGTTCAGTCAGACGAGATGTTTTATTACTCGGCATCCACAGAGAGAAATAGCCACAAGAATTCGTGTGCACTTGCCAAGTCTCAATACTGGGTATAACCTATAAGTCCTTTGAACTAAACGGTCAGCCCTTAGCCTGAAATCAGATAGCAACCGCTTGACTAAGAGGGTACAACGCCTTATCCTGTGAAATAAGCGCGGACACAATGAAGCCGTGAGAAGGCAACTCGGCTAAAAAGAAGGAAGACAAACAAGAGGATGTGATGAACATCTATGGGCAGCACACCCTTTTGACTGATGGCTTGAGCCAAACATCCATTCGATGCCTGGCATGTCTCTGCATATGGCGAACGTCTGAACAGGATGCCATCCTTATACATAACAAGATGAAGTCCTTAGCAAAAGGGTTGAACCTCATGGAAATGCGTAGGTTACAAAGGCAACCATCTCGGCAAACTTCGCGAAATGCCAAACCGGAGATACGGGAACGCGGAACGCCACGCTCCCCAGTGCCCCCCCTCCCCAAACTCAGGGTTTGTTCCCGTTCTGAACACCTTCTTGGAAGGGGTCTGGTTGGAAGCCGTTGGAGTCCAGAAAAAGGCGAGGGCTGAACCGCACCAAAGCTAACCCCAATCAGTGGCAAAGGGACATAGGTGAGCTTGTGGAAAAAGTCGATGGCCCTGGTAAAGTCTGACCAATCCCAAAAAAGACATACGGACACAACACCCTGTTCTGACTTTGATAGCCAGAAACATTCAATTCAAACTACTGGCTGGTACCCAAAATGGAAACCTGCCAAATTGAAACATGGACTAAAACCTGCGGTCCATATCGTGGTGGCTTCATATTGACCCATACCCTGATGGGGCTACCTCGTAATCCCAAACAATCCATGAAATATATACCAACATGCGAGGGGAAATGTGGGTAGATCGTACCTACATGGATTGCAGGGGGCCAGATCAGCTTAAAGCTTAAGCGCGCCTGTCGGTGAGGCTGCAGCCGGCTACGGCCCAGTTTGTGGCCAAACAACAACTACATGGGTTTATATGGTTCTGTCTTTCTTTGAGGGCACCCTTTTTGGGTTGGTTGAAAGGGAAACCACAAGGATCCACCACCATTTTGGAGGGGTCCAACCCAACAAAAGACACAGCCATATTACCTACATGGCAGTAGCTCAAAAACATGGAACCGAAGACGAAAGCCTGCGTAGCCCTAGTTCGTCAGTTTCGAGCAACACTGTGGGTGCACAAAATCCTGGACCACCCAACAAACCCTGGAACGATGAGCCCTAAACACCAACAAACAATGGTGTCAACCATGGTTTCAAAGCGGTGCGAACGGATTTGGTACATCCACGCTTCACTTAGTTTGCTGGAACATAGATGGCACTGGTTCCCATTTGGTGCTCTTTTCATTGACCAGTGCCATCTGGCTGTAGGTCAAAACCAATGGTACCATTTTGAGGTAGGCGCACCACCCATTTTAGTCTATGTTAGGAGGATTGGGATGTTCACTGGGGGTACGATTTGGCTTTTGACCCACCATCTATGTTTCCCAAAAGGGTGCATGGCTCTGGGAATCGGCTGAGAGTCAATGCCATCCAAGGAGATCAGCATCGAGGCCACCCGCCGCAGCAAATCTCCACGGCCACGAGGGCAAAGCATCACGTTGGACCTACGGTTTCAGCCCCTGTGTGTGTGTGTGTGTTTATATCTTGTTCAAGGTATCTGTTATTTTTTGGGGGAAACCTAAGCGGAAACCAAAAGAACAGTGTTTTTTCAAGGTATCCGTTTTTTGGGGCTGTTTCTTCTGCTTGTTGTTTGGTTGTTTTTGTTGGGTTGTCTTTTGAAGCTATCTTTTCTTCGGGTTGTTTCTTTGTTGGGAAACCAAAGGGACACTAAAAGGACAGTGTTTTTGAAGGTATCGTTTCTTTGTCTTTTTGGGGGGGACCAAAGGGAAATCATTCATTTTGGGGGGCTCACTATTTTGGCACTCATATGCCTCTTTTAACCATAACCACCCCTGCAAATTACCGCAAAATCACTAACAGTAGAGGCAACTTGTTTGGGGGTCCTACAGGTTCCATGAGAAAGGTGAGGCTTAAACACCAAAAGACAACAACAACTTTTAGCTGGACACTCAGAGCATGACACCCTCACGAAACTATTGAACACCAGCAACTCGGCAAGCCTGCAAGTGGGGCAATTGTTGCCATAGCTCTCAGGAGCACATCGATCCCCCAAATTGGGGAAAAACTGCCTCCATGTTGGAAGACGCTTGCCACATGGCCATGGGTCAAAACCCCGTACCCCCAGTGAACATCCCAATCCCTCTAAAATAGACTAAAATGGGCAGCGCACCTATCCCAACATGGTACCATTGGTTTTGAGCTATGGCCACATCTCCGGCAAGGAGCATGGCCAACTGCTGGATGGCCGGCTCTGTCATGCGGCAACCGTCAGGTCGGGGATCCTGGCAGGGCGACGGAGAAACATCCACACGCCGACTTGGCTCTGAAAAGAATGGAGGGGCAATACACGGTGCATGCACACAATCCATTTCGCACCTGGCATGGCAGGTGGTTTATCAACCAGTATAAACATATCATCCATTCCTGGTGCAGGACTTTGTCCATCCAAAGTATTCTGGTCTCAAACAGTGCGCGCCCCCCTGCACAAATCAAAACACGAGAAACCATGTCAAAGAGTGTTAACTTGTTGTCTGATCGCGGAAGCCCTATTTTCTTTGGCCTTTGGCTCTGAAACAGCTTCCTGCAACTCCATCCCAACGGACGATGATTTGTAGCAACCGGGTGCAAACAAGTGACATTCCTCCAAATGGGTGTCTTTGCTTGAGGGCACCATTTCTTTGGGGGGGGTTGAAGGGAAGCCAACAAGAAAGCCGAAGCCCTTTCGGGGGAGTAACTTAAGTCAACAAACACAGCCAAATGGAGGCTTGAAGCGAAACCACTTTTCAACATGTCCACTGACGAAGGCTAAGGCTTTGCAAGCAGAACTCCAGGGAGCGTTTTGAAACGGGCAAAACCCGTTTTATCCTCGGCATTTGGAGGCGGCTTTTGAATAACACTGAAACAACTACTACTCCAGTAGTAGAGAGGTTAGAATAAGGGTACCAACTTCTTTTGTAGTCTATTTTAGTAGGGGAACCCTCCAAAAAATGGGTGAGAACGGGCACTACTGGGGGACCTAGAATACCCTCAGTTTTTTGTCTTTTTCCTTTTTTTTGAACCATTCCGGCCCTTCTCTTGGCTCTGTTTGATTTAGTGCAAGGGACACCAAGCGGACACCAAGCGGCGCTTGCAGCGGGTCGAGACCCGATGATGGGGCCCAGCTTCTGGTCATTTCAAACTACCCAAAAATCCACTGCAAGTTTATCGTCTCAGGCCAAATATCACAGCCGGATTGGAATTTTCAATGCATCCGAACCCTTTGTAGGTTGGCCTTCAAGAGAAACCAAAAGGAA